CTGCGCGGCGCTGCTGGGCCTGGACCCGGAGGACCTGCGCGGTAGCCTCACCACGCGCGTGATGCTCACCACGGCAGGGGGCGCCAAAGGAACGGTCATCAAGTGAGTCCATGCGCGGCGCCGGGCGGGCGGGGGGCGAGGGCGCGCGCACGCACACACAGATACACACACGTACACGCACGTCGTCGCCGTTGGGGATCTGCCTCCCCGGCGCTGGCTTGGTCCCTTCCTCCCCCGCCCCCCCCCCCGGGGGGAAGGGAGACGGTGGCCTCAGGCTCCCGCTTGCTCATTTGCACGTACGAACTGAGTTGCGGTTAGCCTAAGCGCAGCTGTGTGAAATGCTTACGTAATGAATTGGTTACGAAGTACAAGTGCAAAAACGTGGTGCTGCAAAAATAGACGAGCGCGGAAGACTAGCGGACTTCCGTCGTTAGTCCCTTCAAAACAGAAACAACGTGCTATGTTTTTCCATCATGCAAATGTTGATTTTGAGTTGACAAAATTTTAAGAGGATTTTGGTTTTCTTTTTACTTTTTCTTTTCTTTTTTTTTTTTTTTAACCAGTTGTTCCAAATGTACATTTTTAGATGCTCAGGCTCGCTTGTTTCATTGTTGTTAGGTCCTTGGATTTTTTATTTTTTTTTAATTTGGAAAAGTGGCAGTTGTACGATAGCTGAATAAAATGGTCTTTTTTTCAGGAAAGAAACAGCTTTGAATAACTCACTATCACATTTTATAAAACCTCACGTGTCAGTGAGTACACTGCGCGGACAACGACAGCATAGCAGTCAGCCTGTGAAATCCATGACCTACATGGAAAACCAGATATGCTAGTAGATTTAACAGATATACTGTTTCAAGGAATGTTAATGCTGTGCCTAAAGTATTTCAGAAGATACTTGGATTCATCTTTCTTGTCGTGGGGGCTGCACGGTGCTCCCATGACTGCTGCCCTGTGATATTAGGTCTGGGATGCTGTAATTAGAGGGTGGTAGATCCACCGTTCTTGGTGTCTGAGTGATCAGTGTCCCTGTGTTTGACACATGTCATTGTTCTGAAATCAAAATTCGGCTTTAAAAACACCACCGCAAACAGAAACCCAGAAATGCTCTGCTGCTTGCTCTTGCTGGTAAACAAATATTTAATCTTGAGTGCAGAGTTAATATTGTTTCACAAAACGTAAAAAGTAGTGGAACAGGATAAATTTAAGAGAAGAGTTTGTGGTTTTTTTTTTCTTGTAGCTATTAACAATGCATCACTATTGAAGTAAATAGTGACCTTAAAAAAAAAAAGAGTAATTACCACTTTTTTTCAGTAGCTTACATTTTAACAAGAAGCTGTCATCAAGGTAACTTCCTAGGCATAGAAATAGGGTAGTGATTTCTTTCTGTATGCCCACGAAGAAGGAATTATTGCAAGGAATGTGTTTAAACACCATGGAAGTTACGACTTCCGTGAAACTGAGTTGTATGAAAATGATCGATTTCACTGCAGTTGCCTTTTGTTTATGGAAAACCTCTATCTTCCACCACAAATTTTCTCTTGTTGAGATTGATCCTTCTAGCACAGAAGCTGTCAGGGATGCTGGCTGAGCTGTGTGCAACTCATGTCTGTTTTATCATTTGGTTTTCTATGTTGTCTACTTTCTGGAGCTAAAGAAAACATCGCATTGAAAACTGAGCTTGGGCTAAAAAGTTTTGAGCACATTAAAAATAGTTCTCAGTCTTTAGCTGGATGCATCAATCTTTTAATTGGGAAACTAATTAACATTCACATCACTCATTGGAAGAATGCATGGGTGCTTCGTATTGACTTGTGGAAACAGTCAGATTTGTTTTAGTTTCATTGAATCAGAAATGCAACTTCATGCACATTACACCAGATGTTTAATATATGAAAGCCATAATTAAGTGCCTTGCATATTTTATGTATTTTGAAATGTATTAGTATTATTTATATTTATGTTTTATAGTATGAAGTATTTGCTAACGTTTCATAAACTTGTGGACTGAAACAAAGTAGCGGCTGATTGATTTAACCTTGGTATGTCACTGTGGCCAGTAAAGGTGGCAGATGTTAGTTAATGCATGCTTAGGTTATATCAGACTTATAGGTGAAAAGTTGATCTTTGAGCACTTGAGAACATTGGCTTTTTTAGTCCTCAAGGGGTGGAATGGATTTGAGTAATGAAAGTTTCCAGTGGTCAAGAGCTCATTCTTTGCAACAGAAGTAATCTTATCTCCCCCTAATTCCAACCAATAATGATAAATTAAAAGAGAATAGCTGTGGTGGAAATACTGTTCAGTGCCCGCTTCCTGATATCCAGGGTGACACTGATCTTCCTGGCCAAAATTTGAGCATAATAAACCATCAGTGACAGCCTGTCACTGTCTGAACATCATATTTTTTAGAGGAACACAAAATCTCTTCTGAATGAATTCATATTCAGGAGTCTTAACTTTAGCATGGGTATGGGCTGTTGTTCCAGCAATACATTCTTACCAAATAACTGAGCTTTGAGGTGTATTTCTAGATAGAGCAAAGAAGTAGACTTCTTGGGGGTCTGCTTACTTTTGTACTTTGAAAGAAGGGATGTTCAAAAGTTAGAACCTTCATAGTGATTACCGTGGAAAAAGTTATAATGCAGCGACAAAAGGTAAGTAATGATTGGGGAAGGGTTATTCTGCCTTCAATTAAAAGTTCAAGATCTCATCATAATATAGACAATAGTGCATTTCTGGAAAGTGGTTATAAATACCACACCACCTCCCCACCCCTCCCCACGTTATTAGAAATTGAGGACTCTCACACACTGTCATCTTTCTGCCTTATCAGCTGATAGGGGAAGTTACAAATAATTTTTCTTTTTATAACAACCTTTACATGTAGGAAGACATGGGTCTGACACGACAAAGTGCCTCCAGTGGCCAATATTTTCCAGGTTTTACTATTTGCAGTCTTCCAGACCATGTCTAAATTGACAGCAAAATCTTCGATATATTCATCCTGTAGAACCTTCATCAGTATTACAGATAACATTAGAGTAGACAATTATATCTTGTACAGTACAGATGGTGCTCATAGTAATGCATGGTGGTATGAGAATTGCAGGTTTGCAAAGTTTGTAACATTTTTTACTTAATTCAGCTTGTGGTCCACTATAACTGCTGATCTTTCTCTGTTGACTCACTGCTTACCTGGTTATTCTCCATTTTGCATTTGTATTTTTGAATTCTCCTAAATACACCACCACCGCTTTCCTTTACCAAAATCTGTGTTGTGGAATTTGAGATCACATCTTCAATTTGTGAAAATAATTTCACAATTATTTCACAATTAGTGAAAATTGCTAATCTTGTTACTAAGATTTCCTGCTTTTTCAGTTCAGTATTATCAGACTTTTTTGAAAATACCCTTACTTTTCTCATTCCTATTTACTGAAAGTGTTAACTAGAAGCAGGAGGGCTAGTTAACTAAATCACATCCATGTCAGATGCAGATGGCATCCCACTGGAAATGCTCTCAGTGAGCTGTTGACTCTGCCTCTGACAACAGATTAGTTTTGGCTGTTGTACACATAACGTTACGTATAGACAAAGTGTGTCTGTATACTTCACTTATGAGAATGTTTGGTGGGATGTAGCAAGCACTAAAGCAAAGGTGTATCATAATATACTGCTTCCCTTTCACTGCATTTCAAGAGACCCTGTTAAGGAAAGTTTCTTAAAGAACAAATTCAGTTTTTGTTTACAACGTCAAATTCACTTTGGATTATGACTAAAGATTTTCTGTTCAGCGTATTTATTCTGATAAGCCTGGGGCATTGTTAGCAAGTGTATGGTTTCAAAAGTCTGCAAACACAAGCAGCTATGTTTTTGTGCAAGCAGATCATACTTTTCCCCAATGTTTTATTTTGTGGGTGGCAAAAATGAATTTAGAGGACTCCTTCCACCATCTCAAAGGATTAATGCGTTAAGCCTATTTCTCTAACCTTTTCTAAACTTGTGCAGCTAAAAGCAAACATACGCTAATAAATACGCTAATATCTTTTTCTCGTGTGACTTACTGCACGTACAAGGAAAGTGGACTGGACTGTTTTAGATACTTACTAAATAACCACCATGTTTTGCTATGGTAGCATAGTTTAGAAACTATTTGATTGCTATCGATATTAGAGTTTTGACAAGGACGTTGTTTTATTTTGTTCCAGCAACCAAAAGAGCTACTCATTTTTCTCTCTCTTTCTTAGAGTCCCTTTGTGTGTGAGTAGATCATGTGAGTCCTAATAGGTCACAGTGAATAAATAGCTCAGCTGAAATCACTGTGCTGGGAGTATAACAAAGGCTTTGTTCTGTCAGGCACAATGGAGCCAACAAGGAGCAGTAGAAGGGTGATGCTAAATACTATCTTCCTGGATTTTATTAAATACTAATGTGCACTGGACTGCCGGGGAGACTTGACAGCTGCACTACATTTATCCATTCTTGTTAGTCTCCCAAAAAGAGCATAATGATCATCTTCTTGGCTGATGTTTTTTGATGGCTGATTTTTGCCATCCATGTGAAGTGTGTTTACAGAGAGAAAAAAATCTGGTACACCTCTTAGACTGTAAATAAATGCACTGTACTAATCTCTTATTCAGTTTCTCCCGTTCCAAGAAGGCTTTCAAACAGAACTCTGTCATCACAAAGTAAATTATTTTACAGTGTGAAAAATTAAACTTGACATCATTCTAGGTCCTCCAGCTTCTTTCAGAGTATGTTTTCTACCAAAATGCCTTTTTTGTTTGTTTGTTTGTTTTGTTTTTGTGGTGGTACTGAAGCTTCTGTTGGAAAAACTCTGGGAGGCTAGTCACTTCAAAAATTATGTTTTTGTAAAAAAACTGTTTCTCTATCATTTTAGGAACTTTATCAAATAACAAATGCGCTGCTTGTATTGTTTAATTACTTAGGCCTTTCACTAGGGAGGGTTATTTCATCCAGGCCATTTGATTTATGAAGTAGTAACCAGACTGGATGACAGTGACTGATAGGTATCACTTCACCTGCTCTCTTCTCCCTGAATTGTTGACAACCATGGGCAAATTGCACATACTGTAATTGCAGTTTATTTGTTTTGGAAAATGTTTGGCAACTTCATGGAATTGTCCACAGGATAAATCCAGCCTGTGAGAGCGCTTCCCCCCAGTCCTCAGACCTTGGGGATCACTGCAAACCTCGCTGAAGAAATTAGTATGAAGACCAAACAAGTTTTTTTCATTGCAGCTTTACCAAATATCTTAGAAAATTGGAATGATTTCTTCTCTGCTCCTTACAAGTAGCTGATGGAAGGAGAAGAGGAGGAGAAGGTGAAATAGAGGAAGAAAAATTTTTTTTTCCGGTTGAAACAAGAAACAGGAGCAGGAAAGAGATTTCTTTGTCAGTATGCAGACAAGGGAAAGGGAGGAGCTCAGGGAAAGCTGAGTTCACAAGAAGGAAGTTACTCGTTTTGACTGTCAGTTCCATATCGACTGGCTCCGTGCAATTTCAGCATTATTTTGTGGTTCTATACTTTCAGCGGTGCAAAACACATTGCAGGGTTATATTTTCTTTCCATGACTTTCTGTTCTATGATATGATAATTTAAAATAACAATAGGGTTTTGTGCAGTGTCTAGAATTCTACTTAATAATGGCAGAATTTGTTGTTTTTGAAGAACAGGGCCACTTCATAATTACATGCTCTAGAAGTATGACTCTGCCATGTTGTTTAACATACTTAAAAAAAAGAAGTTGAACGCATAAATGATTTTAGTGTATTGTATTATGTAATAGGCCTGCAGCTGACGTGTGGGAATTAGTATTCTGATCTCTTAAACGTATCAGAACAGAATGTAAAGGTACCTTCCTTCTATTTATAAGATAAGATTTCTGTCAGTACTCGTTACCTTAAGATCAGTCAGGAGATACTTAGTGGAAGACAAGATTGTGTGTTAAAGCTAATTACTACCTAATGTAATGTAGCTGCAGGTGTCCTTAGTGGACGGAGTCTCTAGTTCCCTGACTTAGCAGTCACAATGGAAAGTGATCTCCATCAGTCTCATGTTTCTGCATCAGAAGTATCATCCTTGCAAAAATGCAGAAATAATAAATTTGAGTTAGTGTAGTGCTTGTGAATTCTGGGAAGTGAAGGAAATGATGCAATATGGGTCAGCCGTGTAGCGTTAAGGTTTCCTTTTCTGACTGGCCAGCTCTTGGTACTCCTGTGTACAGAGGACTACCTGGAGGGGGCGATAGGGCCGTTCTGCAGCCGTGGCATCCCGAGCCTTGCACGTAGGGCTTACTTAAACAGTTCAGGTGAGAGGTTTGGTTTTTTTAAATGTAGATTTGCTGCATATTTCAGAAGTTCCATAATTTGTTGTCAGCCAGCTTAGCTGGACAGTCTATCCTTTGATTCTTACTAAATTGTTGTTGTATCCTTGGACCACCAGTGCTACGAGAGGCAAGCAATATGGGGACAAGTGGTTTGTTTTATTAAGCCAGCTGACTGAGATATTTAGAAAAAGCGTAACAGCTTTTGGCGTACAGCCGTCATCCTGTATTCTTCATGACAAAGAGGCTTGGTGTGATAAAAATCTTACTTCTCTCTGTTCTTGCAAATTTTATCAGTTTGGTTAGCAAAGGCGCTCTCCCTAAAAATCTTTTCTTTTGATTTACTTTAACATTGTACATGTCTGTCTGTCACGATACAGCATTGTGCAAAGCCTTTGTGTACCCATACTTGTTCTAAGTTGTAGGCGTTCTGTCCATGCATGAAATTTTGATACTGCCTGGCAAGGGGCTCTCGTTATTTATTTTTTTTTTCCCTTTCCATTTATATTTTTTTCTTTGACATGTAAAGATTATTTGGAGAGTTTTGATCTTTGGCAGTCTGATGCTGTTCTGGTCTAATTCTGTTCAGATTAGTGGGACTTTTGCTTTTGAATTCTTTGGCAACATGATTAGGATCTAGGTGCAATTTACAATCATACCATAAAACCAAAAGTTTGTTTTTCATACTTCTCTCATGTTGTTTCTTAAACATTTCCTTAAGGCTTTACCCTTGTATCAGTTGTCTTATTCTTGAGACTCCTACAGGCGCTTCCTCAGCTGGGCAGAGTGTAACTGCTTTTTAGTTTTGGTACTCTTATCTGTTAATCCAAAACCTACTTAAAAAAAAAAAAAAGTCTTATACAGTGTATTTATACAGGGAATCAGGTGGTTAAATGTACTTTGAAATATATGTGTTCTAAGCATGTCACTGTCATACTGACTTTATAAAATAGCTAGATATATATTATTTACAGATAAATATGTAGTTATATTTGCCTGATACGATACTCCCACGATTTTGTCATGCATTTCATAGGCTTTGAAGATGTGACTTGTGAGGTTTTTGTTTGTTTGCTTTTTTTGTAGATGGGAATGTATGTATTTATAGAAAGGTATATTTAAATATCTTTCTCTGGCAATTGTCGATATAGTTTCTAATTATCTAATGAACAAGTGTGAAAACATCTGCATCTCACTTCTACTGAGGATAGTGAAGCATTATTCTTTCTTTTTACAGATAGGATAGTTAGTCTAACTTGGCAAGATTATTTCCTGCCTGGGCCTAGAGCTCAGGTTTTTTTGTGTCCCACTTGACAATAATTGGAAAGGCTCTTTTTAAGTTTAGGGTCTAATCTCAGTATTTTAGAGTAAGGAATTCTGAAAAATCTGTGTTTTTGTTTCTTAGGGTACCCTTGAAAGTGGAACAAGCAAACAATGCTCGTGATGCCTTGGCTAAAACTGTATATAGTCATCTGTTTGACCATGTAGTGAACAGGGTAAACCAGTGTTTTCCATTTGAAACTTCTTCTTTCTTCATTGGAGTTCTAGATATAGCTGGTTTTGGTAAGTATACTTAAAAAAGAAGGATTAATTTTCAAGTTTTCTATTATTACCACCAAAGATTCAATTATAAATTCTGTAATGGAGAGTGTGAAAGTTTTCTTCTTGGCAGTGGTGGGTGGGATGGGTTACAAGGACTTAAGAAAATATCAAGAAAGCAAATAAAGCCTCGTTTTTCTGAGATACAAGAATGTAGAGGAGGTGTAGAGGTTCCTGTATAGCTTTTGTCCTCTTTGGCTCACTAAGACTCAGGATAGGGTATGTTTTCTAATGTGCCCTGCTAAGGTGGTCCAAGACTGGTAAAAAAGGGAACCTTTGGTTTTCAGGTCTTTAGAGCTATGATGTCACTGTGTAGTAGCATCTTGCTTTGGTTTGCTGCCAGATATAACTGTTATTTGTCTTAGAAATATGATCTGCTGCAGTATTTTTGTATCTTGTCTTATGCCCAACTTGAGAATCTGTAAAGGATTTTATTTCACAGAAAAAAGAGATACGGACCTGAATGTGATTTTAAATATTAGCACTATGAAGCTTTCCTTGTTACTATGTAATATAAAGTCTTGGAACAGTTGTTTATCATAAAAGTTTTAACTTTTGTTTTTCAGAATACTTTGAACACAACAGTTTTGAACAATTCTGTATTAACTACTGTAATGAGAAACTGCAGCAGTTTTTTAATGAAAGGATTCTGAAAGAGGTATGTTATATTTAATGTTATAGTTGAGGATTTGTTTTCTTAGTAAAGAATTATTTAAAAATTAAAAAAATTCGGTTGACAAATTGTTTTCCTACTGTGTGACATCTGCTTGTGCTAGAAAAGAATACGGCTTTTTGAAAAACAACAATCTCACTCTTCTTTTTTACCATTCGTTAAAATGAGGTATCCAGATACTGGACAATATCTCATACCTAATGGGAATATCTAATTGTCTGGGCGTATCGTTAAGGAGGTGAAGTTGGAATATATTCAAACTGTGGAAGGAAATTCTAAAATGTTTGTTGATTCATGCTGTATTTAAAAATATCTTCATGTTTATTTAAAAAAAGCTCTTTAGTGGGTAAAAACAATATATGGTGAGTGGTGTTTTCTCTTTTAAATTACCCCTTTTTTTAGGAACAAGAACTTTACCAAAAAGAAGGCCTGGGTGTTAATGAAGTGCGCTATGTAGATAATCAGGACTGTATAGGTATGTACTTTTTGAAATGTCAAGCTATTCGTTAGTGTCATGGTGGAAAAAAAAGCTTCAAGCAGAAGAGTCAAAATACACATAGCACTAGTAATTTTATGCTTTTAATGATGGTTGCAACCTTGTGAATTCTTCCAGCTTTGTATAACATTCCCATTCTGGTTGGTAATAGGGCCATGTTGTCCTACAGTGTGTAATAACTGCAGCTCAGTCTTCTGAAATTCTTGTGTGTTTTCCTAGAAAACTAATCAGAACACCTACATAGGGTAAATAAAGTGAAGGTGTCAAGGTGTCTGGGGAAAAATATCCCATGAATTATAAAAATCCCATCCTATTCCCCCCCACCTTTTTTGAGTCAATGAGAAAAGAAACAAAATGAACTACAGGCAACAGGCTATAGATGTTACTGCTGCTTTTACATTTCCACAGACTGATATACCAGAGGCTTAAGATGATGTTGTGGGGTTGTTTTTGTGTTGTTGTTTCCTTTGTCTTTAACTTGTGTTCTCTGAATTGGTGTTTTGTCAACAAAAGTTCATCTTGCTTTTGCGTTTACAGTAATTTGCTATGGTAGCTACTCAGGTCTCGCTGAGCAGAAGATTCAGAGTGACAGAATTCAACATCTGTTGCGAAGTGTCTGGTTCTTCTGAGTTCCTGTAGCTCTGTTGAAGAAGTTTTCCCTTTGTCAGCTAGGACTGTACAGTTGCTAACTCTGACCTAACTAAAGACAACTCTTGTCAAGTGCACCTCTTAGCCACCTTGTAAAAAAGCAATAGGAAGGTATTTGGAGGAGGGAACAAAAGCATAGCGACAGGAAATAGGTGACTTTTATGGACACAAATCTTATCTCTTCTGGTGCTTTAATAATGTGTTTAATAATGTGTATATGAGGCTGAACATGTTCCCAAAAATGTTTTTATAGTTTAGAGACTGTCACGTCTCTATAAAGGTTGCTTCCTCGCCAGTGCATGTGTTTTGTGAAACATCTCTCAGGATCATAGGGGTTCCCTGGTACCTACTGGAAGAAAAGGTCTCTGTCCGACTCACAGTGGAAAGATGGATCAGGTTGTAGAGACCAGTGCCAAGTTGTTGCCTTCTCCTGCCACAGAAAAGATTTGGGCAGCTTACCTAAGAATAAAAGTAGCAGTCTCTCAGTCATGACCTCTTTTCCTATGCCAACCAACATATGACATCCCACTACAGATTTGGCACATTTCTTCATTGTACGAGTTATTCTTAGATAAGTTAATAAAGTTACAGCTTAGTTAAAGCACAGCATATATGCCTTTTTTCTGTTCTTGCATAGTCAGGAGGAAAGGATTTTCTACTGCCTTTTGAAGTGAGTGAGAAACGTAATGTTGGTTTCTGTAAAAATACTATTTTGGTTAAGGTGTTAGACCAGGCCACTGGCAGCCCTGAACATGTAGAATTATTAACTGTCACAAAAGAGAGGGATATTATGTTGACATGGACAATTCTTTAACACTGTGGAAGAATCTTGGAAACAGTTGTTTGAATGTCTAACAGTATGTTAGAATGTTTTGATGGAATGTTAGTCATCTCTGTAGCTAAATTAGGTTATGCAGATTTTATAAGCATAAATTCTTGGATTGGGGCTGTCTTTGTGCTTTATAGTCTCATGCTGTTTACAGTCTGTGGTAGGAGTTCATAGGCACTGCTGCAGTGCAAGCATTAGTCATTTCTTCCTTTCCAGAGAAAAGCAGGTAATAAAAATTCCTCTTACAAGAACAGTTTCATAGATAATACAAGAAAGTTTTAAAAGCTGCAAAATTCTTATGTCTCATAGTTTCAAGAGCATGAATTTCTATGTGAGCTTTCAAGGGCTTTTGTATATGTATGTGAAAGGTCAAGGCGATACACTTGTAAAAAGTTGTGAAACCACTGCTGTATGCTCAAGTCTGATCTGCTTTTCTTAAAACAAACGCATTTCATTTTTCTCCCTGAATCCTGTTATGAATGGACGTATGAGTGTTTTCATGCATTTAGTTTCGGCATGTGGTGGAACATGGATGAAAAGCTTAACCCCCCCCCTCCAACAATATAAGTAATCAGCCATAAAGACCTATGGTTGTACCACAGAAATATTTAGGCACCTTTTGGGAATTAGGTGACTAAATTCCCCTTGAGACACAGAGTAAAAATAGAACAATCCGTGCCTGATCTTTTTTCCCCCTATGTTCCTTGTGTTAGAGATAGAATTTGGTATATATACGATATCGATTAAATAAAGAATTCAGATACGTAAAATTAATTTGCAATGACTTTTTGTATGTTGTGTTAACAGCTTTCCCTAGATACAGTTATACAGAATCAGATCAGTAGCATTTTAAACTTGTAATGTTTGGTTCTGATATGAGGTTATATATTCAATTTTTGTAAACATATTTTGTTTTATTAATAGATTTGATTGAAGCAAAATTAATAGGTGTACTGGATATTTTGGATGAAGAAAATCGTCTTCCCCAACCAAGTGACCAGCATTTTACTTCAGTTGTGCACCAAAAACACAAGGACCATTTCAGACTCTCTGTAGGTTTATTTTTGCTGTCTGTCTTGTTTTAATAAAACAGTTCTTGGAAGAGTTGATAGTAACACTTCAATTTAATGAAAGCCTTTCTTAAGAAATCTCATACCACACCAGTCTGCACAATCCCCATATTCTTTTGTTAAGGACAAGTTTGGTTATTAGGTTTGTTGAAAAGTTCACTGAAGGCTTAAGTCTTCTAGCAATTCTAATATCCTGCTGAAACTAAAGCCATATTCTTCACTTACATTTGAAGTTTGTTAACATGTAATGCATGAAAAGGAAATAAACCCACATTTTAATTTAGAGTCTTTCATATCAGATGGGCTATTTTGTTGTTCCTTTCAAAAATTGCTTGCTTTGGAGAGTATCTGACTCACATAGAGTGTATAGCTAGAACTTCAGAGATTAAAATAGGGAACACACAAGGAAAACCTTTTTGTTGTTGTTAATTCTTTAACATACAGCACTCTGTGGAAGATTAATGCAAATTACTGCAACTTATGTACATGACCTAAACACTGGAACAGGTGCCCCATCCCTGGAAACAATCAAGGTCAGGTTGGACAGGGCTCTGAGCAACCTGATCTAGTTGAAGATGTCCTTGCTCACTGCAAGGGTGTTGGACTAGATGACCTTTAAAGGTCCCTTTCAACCCAAACTATTCTATGGTTCTCTGACTTCTGTTGAAATTTAAAAAAAAAAACAAACAAGAAAAGTTAGTACCCCAATGAAAAAAATGCAACCCAAATATAATTGTCATCCATTTACTTTTTGTTACGTTTCCACTTACCTTGCTTAACTGGATTGCTGTGTAATACTTTTGTTGGTGTGGGTACGATCAACTAGGTGATTGCCTTTTAAAATACACCATCTGAAAATGTATTTTAAGCTTCTATCTAATCCTATTCACAGAATCATTAAGGTTGGAAAAGACCTTTAAGATCATCAAGTCCAACCATCAGCCTAACACCACCATGCCCACTAAACCATGTCCTGAAGTGCCACGTCTACACGTTTTTTGAACACTTCCAGTGATGGTGACTCCACCACCTCCCTGGGCAGCCTGTTCCAATGCTTGACCACTCTCTCGGTGAAGAAATTTTTCCTAATATCCAATCTAAACCTCCCCTCACGCAACTTGAGGCCATTTCCACTCATCTTATTGCTAGTAACTTGGGAGAATAGGCAAACACCCACCTCACCACAATTCATATGACAAGGGTATTCATCATCTGTTGAATGAACAGTACAGAAATTGTTGATTAAAAACAAAAAGAAAATTGACTAGCCGATGTTAGCAATCCTGGTGGCTTTTATTTTGAATGTGAGGTATCTAAGGGTGTGAATGAGAATGAAAATAGGTTTTTGGAGTATCTGTGTGTGAACGGCAATGGTAGTGGTCATCCTGATTGTACTGCAGAAGATGTCATTTTAAGACCTAGTACTCCTGGCATAATCATGATGATGTTTTAAGAATAAACTTTTCCTCACTTTCCAGTGTAATTGTTCTTTTTAATTCAATTTTTTAATTCCAGATTCCTAGAAAGTCTAAATTGGCTGTTCACAGAAATATCAGAGATGATGAAGGCTTTATTATCCGACATTTTGCAGGAGCAGTGTGCTATGAGACGGTAATTTTACTTACACAAAACTGATTTTGTTATGCTTTGTAGTACTTTTGTATTTTTCACTGTATCTAGATGAAATAGCAAAATTTCCTTTCATCAGAAGAGAAATTCAAAAGATGGTATGTCTTAGCTTTGAAACTAATTTTGTGAGTATGTGATGGAATTGACAGTTTCTTGTAACTTCTCAGATTACAGACTGTTTTGGTGACATAGATTTAGTGTAAGAGTTTGTTACAAATCTATAGCTAATAGTGTCAATATTAAATATATCGATTTATGATCTACTTCAACAGAAGTTTGCATCTTGGGGAGAAGAATATACTATGTAATATAAAAGTATTGCTAGACTAAAGGGTAACTTCTCAGGAGCATGCTTATCCTTGTATACAATCACTGTTTATGTTATTAAAAATCAGATATTAGGCTTTTTGTTTTCTTTTTCTCCTGGCAATAGAATCATTCATGTAAGAATATGAAATACCTGGAATTGCTCTCCTCAAAATACATTCCAGACTCTTGTGCTTTTTTGACTATTCATCATACAGAAAATGTTGAAACACCCGAAGCCAATGTCTAAACCGTAATTTTTTTTTAAATAGGAGTTTAGGATAAACAAAAGATCCGTAATGCTTCATTGTTCTGGTCTGTAACTCCAGTGCATAAGAGGGAAGCTAGTTGTAAAGATTGGTTTTTTTGGTCATTTGAAAATGTGTACTTTAAGGGCTTGTTCTTTCTTACTTCAGAATACTCCAAGAATGATAATGATTGCTGTGCTGTTTTGAAGTAGGCACATTCTGTAGGTCATTTTACAAATAAGAATATTTAAGTCTATGTGTTACCTGATTTTTCTGAGGTGACTCACTGAGTCAATATCAAAGTAATAAATAAAATTGGAACACAGTTAAAATGCTCTATGTTTAACTGTGTACCTCATCATGATAAATTAGTAATACCTTAGAGAGTCTTCGGGAACAGAGGAACAGATATGAGCACTTAAGCTCTGCTGTCAGAGCTAATCAGATATGAGGTAGCTTTCGTCCAGAAGCTATGGTAATGTGCTTGACTTAATTTATCCCCTCCCTTAGAGGGACTTACTTAGGTTGGGCCTCAAAACTTTTGGACTATAGCTGTCTTGTACCTCACCTGTTATTTGTTTATTTTTCTTACTGCACTTGTGGCAGTTCTCACAATCTTGATTTGTGATGAGGACGCTCCGCTGGCTGCATTCATATTCAGTATTGTGTTTTCATAGTCTAAAGAAATTTTGGAGGTCTGTGTTTGTGCTTTGATTCTCATAACCATTAAATCCTTTTATGTGATATCTGGCAAATTCATATTTTCTTCAAATTAGTCTTGGCCTCTTCTGTTCATAAATATCAAAGTCACTATTAAAGTTGCACTAAAAGCTATTGAGAATTTTGTTAGTGTGAAACTGGGTACTAGCGTCTTGATTTCTGAATTTCAGTGTAATGTATTGTTCTTAACTTTGAAAGTTAGTGAGCCTTTTAAAATAAACCAGAGAGGTAAGGTTTGTAGGAAGACACAATATCTTTTATTATATAAGCTGTTCTTAAATAGTTGTAGTACGACTAAAATAATTATTTGTCATTTAGTTTTCCAAATTGTGTAGATGCAGCAATTAAAGTGTGCATGTTAATTCCCATTTCACAACGGATCTTAAGTGGTATTACAAGCAGTGAATAATTAAGCTTCTCGGAACTCCCAAGTGATGTTGTGCTGAGTGCTGGAAGTGGAAACAAGAAGGATAATCATTGACAAAAACACAGCTGATCTCTTAAAAAGCACTAAACCTTACCCTGGGTTTCATGTTTCCAACAACATCCTTCAAATTTAAGCATATCTTTTCTCTCTGTCATTAGTGTTTTGTGTATCCAGTTGAAAAGTCATTTGAAATAATGTCTGCATATTTACCCCACATATTCTTGCTGATTTTTTAGTTAAGTATATAATTTTGTTTTCTTTCATTTTTTTTAAGACTTCAGTAACTGGGGCAGTGAAACAAATGTGCTATTATTTCGTGGGTTCTCTTTTCAGATGCAATTTGTGGAAAAAAACAATGATGCTTTGCACATGTCCCTTGAATCTCTTATATGTGAATCCAAGGACAAGTTTGTTCGACAGCTATTTGAATCTAACACTAACAACAACAAGGATCCCAAACAAAAAGCTGGGAAACTTAGTTTCATCAGTGTGGGAAACAAATTCAAGGTAACATAATACAGCAAAGAATCTTACCTTCTTGTAATGTATGCCACTTTTATGTTACCTGAAATAAGTAGAACCTAAGGTTGGGGGAACTAATGGCGACTTGAGACTCATACGAAAAAAATTTTGTTAAATAGATGTTTTTCTGTTGAATTATAGGAAACCAGTATGTTCACGCTATATGCTATGTGTTTCTGTTAGAAAGATGTTTCATAATAGTCCTTACAGCGATTATACAGTATTTTTTAAGTCAGAATTTTGCAAAGCCACATGGAAGTCTTTATTCAAAAGGTTTAAAGTCTTGAGATCTAAATTTTAATTCTGTGGGGTTTAAGGGGTTCTAAATGTGACAAAAGGTGTTCTTCCATCCTGTCTTAATTGTGTATTCTAGGAGATGTATCAATTGGCTATGGTTTGCCATTCTCAAAATCAATACCTAACCTAACCACTGTTTTTCCTCTCTAAATTATAAAGATAGTCATGGCTTTCACAGAAAGATGTTCATTGTGCTGAATGTTTCCTTCCTGAATACCTGAATCTGATGCTTCTCCTCATTTTCTCCTTTCTTCTGCTTGTTGTAAAGCTGACCTTCAAACCTTGTCTTCTCCAAATGTTTTCTGCATCCTTTTCTCATTCAGCAGTTTTATTTTAGCTGGACTATTCTAGCTCAGCATGGCTAGAAAGAGAACTATAGGGGAATTAAGGGATGAAAAGCAGGCACAACCATGGGCTGCAGGTAAATTTTTCAATCTTATGGATTTACTGTTGGTAGAGCTGCTGCAATTTCAGCAAGAGCTCTTCTCAACACATCTGGGCCAGATCCAATGAAGGATTTGTATGCCTTCAAGTCACGTGCTGCAACATTTTTGGTATGCTAGCTTACCTAGCTCGACTCCTTATGCAATCCCTGGGGAAAGCAGGTATCTTAGTCCAAAACCTTTCTTGTAGAGTGGGGCACTACCAGTAGCAGAAGAGCGTTTCCGCATTTCTGCTCCACGTCAAGGTTAAGTGCTGAATCAGGACTCGGATAAATTCCTTCTTGCATAATTGTATCTTGTGGCTGTGTTTAGAACTGTTCTCTAAAAATGCAGGGGCTGAAGAATGGGAAGAATATGGCAGCAGCACTTGCTTTTTGTGTAGCAGCAGTATTCTGCTTCAGATCTATACTGTATTCAGTGTTTTATGTCTACTGTATTTCCCATAGTGCTAAGTTATTGGTCAGTCTGACATAGGGGATTCTCCTGGAGATGGGTTGTTATGTAGCCAGAAATTAAATTTTGATGAGTCCAGGAAGAGTAGGAGACAGAGCCTGACTTGCAAGGTAGTGGTTTTGGTATTTAACTAGGAATTGGTCAGCCTGCTCTCTTGAGTTTTGCTCTGATGATTATTTCCTCCTCCTTTGTATTAAATGATAGTTGTGGAATTAAACTGCAGCAATTGGTTTAATAAAAAATGCATGATCAGAAGGCAGACTGAAAAAATGGAATTACGTACAGAAAAGCCATTTCCTGAGCAAGCCCTGCAACTGTGATTATGTTGTAGGTAAAGCTAGGATCCATTGTTTTTTATAACTGCATTTTCAAAATGAAGCCAACTATGAGATCTCTGAGATAATTTCCGCTTTATTCCATCTGGTTTCTCAGTTCCTCTTGGATTTAGCACCCCACATCCAGTAGATGTGGACATGTGAATGATACTATTGTCCAAGGAGGGCTGAAGTAAAAAGGGAGGCATTTTTTAAGTTAAGCAAGCAATTGAGTGGGGAAATTTTTGGATTGCCTTTGTGACTTTGGTGTTCACCTCTGCACCTAGAACATGACCGAAGTCCTCTTTGGATCTGGCCCATCAGTCTATAATTCTTTCAATGTTCTCAAGTTTCATGGCATTTTGAATGTATGTGTTACTTCCAGTAATTCATTTAGTGCTACCTTCCCAGACAACATGTGCTGCTGATGAACACTAATAGCCTTGAAAATTTCACTTCAGATGACATCAAAATAAGTTTTATTATCTTAGCAGAAATTTCATCTCTTTAAGAATAAGAATTCATAGTGCATCAGTATGTAAGTCAGTCTTGAATTCTTCTATGTGAATTATTAGACGATGTCACGAGGACTTCTTTTTATGAAATCTTTCACACATCCCTTCCTTATAAGTAATTAAAATTAATTCACATAAACCAGTTGAGGAAATAATGATTAATTAGTTCATCAGATCTACTCAAGAATCTTTGGAATAACTTTACCTTAATACAGTAATGATGGATTAAATCAACATGATTCGAAGAGTAGTAGTGGAACTTACCTGAGAATGGCTCTGGCTTATTGTCAAATCACAGAGTATAAGGAAGGGGTATTTTTCGTCTAGTAGAAATGTATTTTATTGATGGAAATTAGACTGTCCTCTCCAAAATTAAGCATTTCTAACTTAAAAATCATGAAGATTATATTCAAGTAGATATAAAGAATATGTGTAAATGAGAACTGAGCAGGAGGTTATTAGTGTTTGTCATGCCTCTTGTGACACTCCTCTCTTTCTAACCATAAGTCAAAAAAACCCCAAACCAATTTCATCTCCTGGAAGGATGACTTGCAGCTGTAGGTGATGCATATTGCCCATGCAAATCTGGTTGCTTGAATTTAAGGTAATTGAAAGATCTGGTTAAAAAAAAATTTAGTCAAAAGTTAGATCCTTTCAATTTTGGTTCCAGTACAGAAAATGAGGAATATGTTAGGACATACAGAATTTTGTCTTACTTCAGTCTATGTACTTAATGCTTGCTAGTAAACTAGAAAGGCTGGCACAGCAGTAATCTATGTGGTAAAACAAACACATCTGTAAAGTAAAACTTTTTCTGATGAGGTTCTGTAATATTTTAAGTCCCTACCAATTGCATTCAATAGCAACTATAAATGGTTGCTGATAGCCTTAAGTCTCTGGTGATCCTGTAGACTTGACCCTAAATAATCATAGGACTGTGGTCCTTTCTCATCACAGTATGTTTAAATCCAGCCTCAGTAAATGTGATTTAAAAATTGTACTCTGTCATCAACGGAGAATTAAAAATTTGGCAGTTTGGAATTAAAAATAGATTATGCAATTCATTCACTGAAATATTGACTTAGCTTCAAAACAACCAAGAAAACTCTGACTGTACATGTTTTCTGTGTTAATTATTTAACATACAAATATATACTTGTTATAGATTAAATTTGGGCATTCACAAATCTTCAGTGCATTTTTTTTTTAATTCTGGCTGATTAGCCTCATTTTCTTCTTTATAATTTTATTACATAGCGATTATTTCCTTTCTTTTCCCAAGTGGGCTTGCACTTTATTTTGATAACTGTGTTGTAGTAAGTAACTAGTCCATACAGTATTGTTGTACAATTAAACACAAGCAATTTCCTCAGGACCATTCATGCACACTTGCATGATTTTGTTTGTTAAAATTTGTGAACGTTTGATGTATCAATTCTGCCTGACTTACTAACAATGAACGTGCATGCAGTAATGCTGTACCACTATTCTGTGTGTATATTTCTGTAGTTGTCATGGTAAGAGTCTTGAAAGATCTGTTTTCTTTTACAGACTCAGTTAAATTTGCTTCTTGAGAAGCTTCACAGTACTGTAAGTATATATACAGATGCAGGTTCATAATTTTCTGACATAAGTCATAATCGATTATCTCAACAATAGGGCTCGCAATAAATGTGATAAATAATTGCTTTAGAGTTTGCAGTTATATGGCACTTTTGAAATGTCTTGCTGTGCAGGTGATGAAATCTGTCTGGGCTGCATTGTCCTTTTTTTGTTACTTCCCTCCATTCACTGGTTATCACTGATGACTAATCTGCAGATTTAGAGATGTTATTTAGATGTAAGGCAGAGTGTAATTTATTATTAATTTCTGTTTCCAGATTCATTTTAACAGCCGTTAAAAACAAAATGTTTCATTTCGCTTTTGTGATAGGCTGTGAATGCAGAGTAGGTCAAAGAATCTGATTCCCCTAATGAGTATTTGATAATTTAGCTGATGGATTTGATACTTTGTGGAATTCTCCATGTAGTTCAACATACCTTTTTTTTTTTTTTTAGAACTTGTAGGAACACATTCTTGTTTCTCTTGACCACATGTTCTAACCAGTTCTAGATATGAGGTTATGCTCTGTCAAAAAAAGAAGGGGGGGAAAAAACATGGGAAACAAATGGGACAGGTGCTGGAGTGTAGCTGACATAAAGATTTTACTGTACTCTTGAGGATGGCGTGATAGTAAGATGATCTCTTTCACACAGAACACTCCAGAACTGAGACCCAGTCCACGGAAAAAATATGTGGCCAGGCTTGCTGTACTCCGAGTTTAGCTAACCCATGACTGATGTTGTATCGTTATTACAGAGCACCCTTGGCAGGTGCTCTCTTACTCTCAGTTGTGAGATGGAAAAAGAGAGAAGATGCTGCAAACCAGTAGTAATATAATATTTTCTCAGTCCCAATTTTGTTTTAGTATATAAGGTAGGTTATCATTAGCAGCCACCTGTTACAGGAAAATCTGAATAATTGGATGGTGTGTTGCAAAAACATCATCCTTAATGTATGTGAAATGAAAGCAGTGGTTGAAATTGTAGAGATACCACACATGTTGATAAGAGAGAAGCAGACTGGGACAAGATGCAGGATGGAAGAGTGAAGCTGTGAGGCAAAAGAAACTGTAAAAAGTAAAAGTTAGAAGAAATGAAGGTCCAGTTCATCTGGCATGATTCCAATGTTAGGAGGCTGGTAGCATGTTCACTAATGTGGACTCTTGAGGACTGGGGCATTTAGGTGGTGTGATGGTAGAAGATAATGAAGGTAGTAGAATCCAGACTGCTAAATCATAATTAGATTTTACTGGTGTTAAGAACAGTTGAGTGAAAACTCAAAAGTTGAGAATCTAGTTAATAGCTTGAGCACTGAGATCAGTTCCATCAAGACCAAGGCTAGAGTACAAAAACGGTATATGAGAGCAAAAGGACGTCAGCATTTCTCTTTTAGAATACTATTCTTTTGTATCTCCCCGCCCCCCCATCTTAAATGACTGTCACTTCAGAAGGTTTAAAAATGTGTAGATTCTGCTAACTTCTTGTTTTGGTAATAGGGGTCTAGCTTTATTCGCTGTATCAAACCTAATTTAAAGATGACAAATCACCATTTTGAAGGAGGACAGATCCTCTCTCAGCTTCAGTGTTCAGGTAATATATGCCTCTGATATCTTTCCTTCTGTTTATTACTTTGGGCATTACAGATTGACCTGAGTTTGAAATATGTGAGATGGAAGCAATATTTCTTTGCTTGAAATGTTGCTTTCTAGAAAGTAGCTTATTTATGCCTTATGAACAGTTATTTAGATCCTTAGTAACTTAGTTCTCATTTTAGTCAATAGAACCCTGGAAATAATTCATCTGAATAGCCGTAGGGTCTCTTCTTCCCAAGAAGAGTTGATGTAAATTCCATCAGCTGTTTTTCCATTGTTTATAATGAGAGTTCAGACTTAAGGTGCAGATGTAAGAAGCTATGTAGCCATGTATTTGTACATAAATTTAGATTTCCTGACCTGGAGGTGAATGCCATCACTTTGTGTTGCCTACAGTATTAATAGGGCAGCAGTTCAGTCCAGAACAACAATTGCAATATTTTACAGTAGTCTTACAAGCTCACTTTTCCATATGTGCTTACTTTAGCAACAGTAAATGAAGCTTAATTTAGTAAAACAAAGTTACAATATGTAATGTTGAAAAAGCAAAATGTAATGCTATAAAATATTTTTTGAAAAAGACAGACAGTATAAACAAATCAAATTTCCATTGAAAGCAAATATGCAAAAGGTTAAGTTTAAAGATGGCAACCGTAAGTTAAGGTCTCTCTTAAAAACCTATATGCAAAATCTGTTGATAGGGTTATGTGAAGCAGCAGGCAGAAGCTGGCATGCCCTGTGCTGCTTGAAGTAATTTAAACCTTTTACTGACTTTCTGTCTGTACTTTACTGATGTCCTAGTTGCAGCCAAAATGTAGTAACAATATTTGGGACATGAAAATTACATCTTTGCAGCTTATAACTAGTACTGGAAATACACTAAATGTTGTAGCACTGTGTATGTATTTGACGCTGCAGCTGTACCACAGCTCATTGTTCAACAGCTGAAACCAGGACAGTCTTTGAGGCTTGTGTCATGAACTGCTGGTTATCACAAAAAATCACTCCTTCATTTGCATTTTACTGATACCAACTTTTGTGCATGTGTTTCTATGAATCTAGGAATGGTGTCTGTTCTGGATTTGATGCAAGGTGGTTTCCCTTCGCGAGCTTCGTTTCATGAACTATATAATATGTACAAGAAATACTTGCCTGAAAAATTGGCTCGACTGGATCCTAGGCTCTTTTGCAAGGTAAGAAAGAAATTAATTCTTCTTCTGTATCATCCAGGACAGAAGTAGTATTGTGGGGGTTTCTTTTTGTGGTTTTTGAACTTTGATTTTGGTTTGTTTGGTGTGGGTAGTTTTTTTTTTTTTGGAGGCAGAATATAATCCTAAGTGTTTTCTGTGTTTCAGGCACTGTTTAAAGCCTTGGGACTGAATGAAAATGATTACAAATTTGGGCTAACCAAAGTGTTTTTTAGACCCGGCAAGGTAATGTTTCTCTTGCAGTTCATAAATGTGAATCTTAGAATAATTTCTGTTGGAACGAACCTCTGTGTTGTTCAACACATTGCTAAGTGTGGACAGCTTGAAGTAAGGTTGCTGGGGTTTTTTTGTAAATACTGTTCATTTTCTATGAAAAAAATCAATATGAATACTGATATAATTGGCTTCATAGTCTTGTTGCTAATGCTGCTGTATTCCTAATGCAATGGTTGTATTCCCAGACGTTCTAGCAGTCACTTAAGATGTATGTTGACTATTAAAAAGAGCAAGTCAGAGCAAAGGAAAAATATTTTCTAGTAAAATCTATAGCTGAAATCTTTTTCCATAATTCTGAGCACTGTGCTGCTGCTCTGCAGAGAAAGGAGATGAAGTAGGGAGCTGTTGTAACTAGAAAGGAAAATTACTGTAGTCCCAGAAGAATGTTCTCATTGTCATAATTACCGAAAAGTTGAAGTGCAGGAGTTTCAGAAAAGGCTGCCTTTAGTTGGACTCTTATACAAAGGTTAAAATTTGAGAAGTGCTTTCAGGGCTTTATTTTTTCCACAGATACAGAACTAGAGGTGTCTTGAAGTTGTAGAAGGCCAGAGCAAGTGTTCAGGATGTAGAAGAGCTTTTGGCAATAAATATTTTTAGTGATTAATAAATGGTTGGCTTATTCAAAATGCTGTGTTGCACATCAATTAAACAAGCAAAAAATCACAGTAGTCATTTCTGTTATCTTTAAAGAATAGAGTGATGCCAGACATACCTGTTCACTTGAATTAACTGAAAGCTGATACAATGATGACATACAGTCTACATTAAAAATATTTTACCTTTTTTACTCAACATGCTTTTAAATTATAATGTCTAACACTCTCTGTTCTCCTATTGTAAAACTTTTTTTTTTTTTTTTTTTTTAATTTAGTTTGCAGAGTTTGATCAGATAATGAAGTCTGATCCGGATCACTTAGCAGAGCTAGTTAAACGAGTGAATCGCTGGCTTATCTGCAGTCGTTGGAAGAAAGTTCAATGGTGTTCTCTCTCAGTGATTAAATGTAGGTATTTTATGTTCTATGAAATGTTTGTTAAAAATAGAGCAAAGCAATTACTATCACCTTGAAATGTGGCTAAGGACATATATAGATGGTTACATACTAAAGTCTGAGTAGTTGCTTTCAAGGTAGATGAGGGGTTTTGTTAATGCTTTATGTTAGGTGCATACAGGGGGGCTTAGAGCAGAGGTTTTTAGAAGTGGGACATACACCCATCACCAGTATCCTCTGTCCAGTCTGCTTGGGTGCTTACTGAGGCCTGGGTAAACACTTGCACAGAAATAACTAGCTATCACAGGTCTTGTTGGGGAGAGACTTCCAGATCAGCAGGACAGAACAGTAGTTCCGCTCTCAGCTGACAACACGGAGTCATGGAGTTCTGGGAAGTGCCAGCACAGAGGTTGTTATCTCCAGACAGAAACTGCGTGTTTGAAAGCGCTGATGTGAATTAGGGGGCAAACATCTCCATTCCAGCAATTCCTG